GCCGCTCTCCTGTGCACAGACTCGTCTTCTCCTTGTCTGCACAGGGTCATCCCTCTGTCTGCAAATGTCCCCTTCTTATGAGGACATCAATAATACTGGATCGGGGCCCACCCTAATGGCCTCGTCTTAACTTGACGGCCTCAACAGAGACCCTATCTCCGAAAAAGCTTACATTCTGAGGTTCTGGGGGGTCAAGACTTCAACATGTGAATTTTTGGGGGAAAGAATTCAACCTCTAATGGAAGACACGTGTCTTTTCTGATTGCCCATCACAGCACTCCACACTGTGAGTCTGGATGGGAGGCCGAGCCCTTCTTCCACAAAGACACTGAGAAGCCCAGACATGGCCCAGCCGCTCCAGCCACTCCATACCAATGACCCAGGCTTAGGCCCAGCTTTGGCTGGAGAGACAACTGCGTGGGACCGTCTACCATCCCAAAGATGTGGCCAGGGCTGAGTTCTCTCCTGCTGGTGGTGGCCACCTCTACTTCCTAGGGACCACGGCGCCCCTGAACCTGTGCTCACAGCCAGCACCAGGGCAAGGGGGGCCCTGGGTTGTGGGCCGTTTCGACAGCACCCCCTAACGTCTGCCCTAGGGGCTTCCATGGCTCCCGTGCCCCTCCACACCATTTGAGGTCTTTCTTCTCTCTAGGTCCCGTCTGCCCAAATTCTGCCCAGCACAGCACCACTGCCAGGCCTTTCCTGTCCCTGTCTCTCTGCTGGCAGGCCATCTGCAGCTCGGCCACAGCTCCCGTGACTTCTGGAAGACCGGCTGACCTTCAGTCTCAGGCTGCTTGCTCCGAGAAGGTCCTCGTCGGTGGTGGGAGGCATGGAGCCTCAGAGCCAGTCAGATCCAGATTCAAACTCTAATTTACTGGACTGTGTGACTTTGGGGGAAGTTATTTAAACTCTTGAGGTCTCAGTCTTCTCTGCTTTAAAATGGGCTAATAGCTATAGCTGCCACACCCACGGGTTCTGAGGTTGAAATGAGCTAGTGCGGCGCGGGGTAGGCCTCTCGCAGGGTTCCGGTCCCCGGAGTGGGGGTGTGTGCAAGCACGCCCTTGGGGAGCGCCGTCCTTCTATCACGGGGAAGCGCTCCAAACCAGAGTCTGCTAGACACGCCACGGCAGGCTGAGAGATGAGACCAGCTCGGTGGGGAGGAAGGAAGGGGGAGCTTCACGCATGGCTGGTGGGCTCGCGTGGGCTGTTTCCACGGCCGCTTTTCCATCGATGCTGTTTCCCCAGCCCTGTGGGGCAGCACCAGGTTCTGAGCCAAGACAGCCTGCATCCCGCAGCACCCAGACAACCCCCCGCATCCCCCAGCAGCCAGGCAACCCCCCCGCATCCCCAGCACCCAGCACCTGGCAGGAGGGCCAGGGAACAGCTCTACCTGCTCCCGGCCCAGCTCCCTTGCCCGCTCTAGGTGGGACCAGGCTCCGGTCTGACTACAGCAGGGTGGTGGGAGGTCTGCAGGTGGGCTGGGCCCAGAGCTTTCTGAGAGCTCATGTGTTTGTCTGCTTGTGCAAACAAACCCGGCAGACCCATCGCTTCCGTTCACCCTGAGGCAGTCTCTACCTCATGCATGAGTTTTAATTTTAAATTTCTCCAACGAGAACAACAGAGCCATTGTTAGCTGCCTGCTTCGGGGGAGCCTTTGAACAGGTCCCTGGAATCTGTGAGGGTCAGCGGGAGCCGGCAGGGCGGGGCTGGGCTGGGTTTGACTTAAAATTGGAAACACAGGAGGCAGAGGAGCGCGGCTAGCTGGGGAGGTCCAGGAGCCCCGAGCCCTGATTTATGAGTGGCTTGGTGAAAGCCTGTGGTAATATTTATAAATTCCTTCCCCAGGGGCGGGGTGGAATGTTCTTCTGAGCCGCAGTCAGACAGCACCTTTTTGGGGGCTAAAGGGAGGTTAAGTCCAATTATTCAATGACAGAATGTGGGTGAGGAGCCGCTGGGATGTCTGCTCCCCAGAGACCCGGGGAAGGAAGCAGACCTGCAGGCCTCCTTACACTCTCAGGGACCCACTCCAGTCAGGGAACTTTTTGGGGCTCCTCCCTGGTGCTCCAGTCCCCGGCTTCCCCCTGCGCTACTCCGCAAGTCCAGGGACCTACACCTGCCAGTTGTGGTGACCACATCCTACAAACATCTACCTTGGTGTCAGGGGACGAGACAGGTCTTGGCCGCACAGAGGAAGAACGGGAAAGATGCAGACAGACACAGGTGTCCCAAGGGGCCCGAGGCTGACGTATGACCCAACACACAGAGGGACCTGCGTGTGTGCCAGGCACGGCGAGAGGCTCACACACCCACTGTGAGGTCTGGACCCACCCGCCAAGGCAGGCGCCTTCACCGAATCAAAGAGCACCTGCCCAGCGGCGTCCCTGTCAGACCTGGCGTCCCTGTCCCCAAGTCCGCAGGGTGGCAAAGGGCTGGGCCACGTGGCCAAGCTGGCCGATGACCTTGCTTGGATGAGAAGGGACGATGGCAAATGTTTTTAAAAATTGTGTTCAGGAAAGTAAAACCAAGGGGTGGGGTGGGGGAGGGAGCACAGTCAGCTCTGAGGGGCCACCTTGCCCTTGGCGCCTCAGGTTTCCCACCTGCGAGCAGGAGAGAAGCCCCTTCATCAGCGGTCTGACACGAGGGCTCCCAGGGACATGTTTCCTACCTGCTGCTCAGCACCAGACACAAGCAGTGGAGATGGGGGCTGCGGTCTGAGGGGCTGCGCTGTCTCTGGAGCCCGCGGGGAGCTTGTCACTGCGGCCCTCGTCCACAGCCTGGCTGGGAACACGGAGGCGAGGGCCTCGGCAGGGGTTTTAACAGCACCGGGCTCCTGCCTGGATGAAGGACTCTCCAGGAAAGGCTCGGAAGCCTGCTACAGGGCAGGAAGGGTCCCGCAGGCTGCCTGCAAGGATTAGGAGACCTGCCTCAGCGAAACGACCCCGCGGCCGGGTGGAAGGTACGAGAAGACGCCTCTTCCCCTTCTGGCTGCGTGTCCACAGGCAAACCGGGCCGTACTTTGAAGGGCCTTGCGAGGCTGATGCTGGGAAAGCAGGGGTTAAACGCCCGCTCCCCAGCAGGGGAGGAGGGAACCTGGGAACCCAGCCCGTCCTTACCTGGTTCTTGGCTTCCTGAAGCCTTGGTCCCACCAAAACACTGAGATGGAATCCTTTTGTCCCTGGGGGTGATGTCAGGGTTTCCTTTGGCAGGTGGGACCGTCATGCATGTTGGAACCTCTGAGGGGACGACTGGCTTGGCTCTTCTGTGCAAGGCTTGCGAGGGAGCAGTGTCCAGGACATCTGGACGCTCTGCCGGGCCGTCCCTCGCACACAGAGGGGCTGGCTGCCGACCGAACACCTGGAGGTCTTCAGCCAATCCCGACGGCAGAGGGCTGTGAGGCTTGGCTCAAATAGGCTCAGAGGGCAAGGGCCTGGGGTCAGAGCAGCGTGGTCTGCTTCCGAGCTCCTGTGCCCGGAGGGGCTCCGCAGCTGCAGGGCACTGGGGGGCTTCCTGTCCCAGATCTCGCCCGGGCCTCCCCTCAGCACTTCCCCTGGGGACTGAAGGGTGCAAGTCCATTGCCAGGCCTCAGAGTGTTAGAGCTGGAGGGGATTCCTAAAAGCGATTGCAAGAGTAGTTGTCACTTATTAAGCACCTACTGCATGCCCGGCACGTTGAGATGGTTTCTAACCCTCTCGCAAATGCTGCGCGACAGGCAGTGTTCTAGTCCTCAGTTCCCGTGGAGGAGAAGGGGCTGCGGAGAGGCCACACGGTGCGGGCAAAGGCACAATCCCAGCCCTGGAACTCTGCAGCTGGGGGCCTTGCGCTGATTTCTAAAGCTCGGCGTGTCTCGTCGTCCTCATTTGTGAGACAGGGAAGCTACTGCAGCACCCACTGCTCGGGGTGTCAGTGAGCTACTGTGCACGCAGAGGGCTCGCCACCGTGCCCGGCACCGGGGGAGCCTGCGGGAGGGGCCGCTCGCTTCCTGCAGACGTGCTGCTGGCCCTCAGCCGGCGACTGTCCCCAGGCCGGAAACCCCGGCTGTCCGACCACCGGGGATGGAAACGCGCGGCCAGGTGCCTTCTCACCTGTAATCACCTGTAGCTCCAGGGGCTCTACTGACTTCCCCATTTTATTTGAAATAAGCATTGAAGATTCGCCTTCTGTAGGCTTTACTCTTTCACTATGTTCTCCAACGCAAGGTTTCATGGCCTTTTCAGAAACCACGACAATGCAGGTCCTGCCCGGTCTAGACCCCGGATGGAGAGAGGCTCATTTCAGGGGGAAGCGGAACAGAAGGAGCCGTGACGGGGACGCGAGCATTTTATTACTCCCCCGCACTTCCCTCTCCCTCCCGCTCCAATTTCCCTCCGTGAAGCTGAACGCAAACGTGTTACAACTGACCCCAGATTTATTCCAAGCGGCAAAGGATGAATCAGACAAGCGAGCACCAGCGGAAAGGGGGTGATCTTTCTCGGGGAAACCTGATCTCAAGTGCTGACATCTCCAGCAGCCCCCTCGCCCAGGCCAGGTCCCTCCCCCCCACCCCAGTCCAGCAGCACATGGAGCCCTCAGGCCACGGAGGCTCCGGAACCCCTCCCCCAGCTCTGGGGGCTAGGGACCCGGCCCCAGTGCTGAGTGCCCCACAGGGGTCCAGCCCAGGGCTCTATGATGTCACCCTGCACCTCCCCAGGTGGCTGGCCGGTGGGACTGCACTGGTCCTCTGTTCACTGTCCAGGCAGAGTGATGTCGCTGCTGCTCCTGAGTGGCAGAAGCACCTGGTGTCTGTTGGGCTTGGGGGAGGCGTGGCCCGGCTGGGAAGCGGGGGAAGGGGTGGCAGGAAAAAGGCAACAAAGGGAGGTGCACAAAGATGGGCGGAATCACCTGGAACGGAGAAGCTGCGGAGCCCAGAGGGGCCCGAGGGATGCAGGGAGCACCGCCGGCCCGGGTTCACGCAGCAAAGCCCGGCGGCCGGGTGTGGGGGCCACAGTGCCAGGCCGGGCTCCTCACTTGGAGACCAGCATGTGGACGAACTCCTCGTAGTTCACCTGCCCGTCCCCGTCCACGTCTGCGGCCCGGATCATCTCGTCCACCTCCTCGTTGCTCAGCTTCTCCCCCAGCCTGGTCATCACATGCCGCAGCTCAGCGGCGCTCACCAGGCCGTTGCCGTCCTTGTCGAAGACGCGGAAGGCCTCGCGGATCTGGTCCTCATTGTCCCTGCCCTTCAGCTGCCTGGCCATCATGCCCAGGAACTCGGGGAAGTCCACGGTGCCGTTGCCGTCGCGGTCAATCTCGCTTACCATGTCCCGCAGCTCAGCCTCCGTGGGGTTCTGGCCCAGGGAGCGCATGACGGTGCCCAGCTCCTGGGTGGTGATGACGCCGTCCCCGTCCTTGTCAAACAGGCAGAAGGCCTCCTTGAACTCGGCCACCTGTTCCTCACGTAACTGGTCAGCCATGGAGGCTGGGTGGTGGCTGCTCTGGTGGCGGTGGAGGCTGGTGGAGCCGCAAGACAGGTGGCGGAGTGTGGGGCGCCGGCTGGCTGGCCGTCTGGCCCGGCCTTGACTGGCGGGCGCTTAAGAAGGAGCCGGGCTCTCGCTCACATGCGGACTCCCCGCCCCGTGGTTGCCCCAGGCCGGGTGCTGTTGGAACAGGAGTCCGGCACCAGGAACCAGGCTGGCCGAGGGTTGAGCTGACGCCAGCACCAGTGTGTGTGTGTGTGCTTGTGTGTGCGTGTGTGTGTGTGTGTGTGTGTGTGTGTGTGTGTGTGTGTGTGTGTGTACGGCTCCCTGCCCACCGCATTGGGAGCCGGCAGGAACCCCCGCAGGACACCCACAGGGAGGGCAGCCTGCCCAGCCCACAAGAGACTGGTTTGGGCTGTTCCTTCTGGAATCACCCCTGTCCTGTCTTCAGACCCTGCGGCCCAGAGAACAGCCAGCCTCCCTTCTGTGGCAGTTCAGGGAGGGATGAAAGGGAGAAATTGCCTTTGTCTGAAGGGAACTTCCTCTCCCTGTCTTTGCTCTCCAAAGCCTGAAAGCCTCCAGGTTCCCAAAAGGGTTTTCAGAGAAGGAACAAGGTTTTCTTCTTCAAGAGGAAGCAGACTGTCTTCTTATCTTCAGAAGAAACATGACTAGAGGCGGATTTCCCCCAACTCCTTCATTCCTATGTATGGACTGAGGGCCTACTCTGTGCATGGACTGTTCTAGAAGCTGGGACCAGAGCCACAAATGAGACAGGCAGCTCCCAGTCCTCCAGAAATTTCTCTTCCTTCTGTGAGCCAGCTAGCTAGTGAGCAAATGAACAGGTGCGATACTTGGATATTGTGACAAATGCCATGAAGGACACTGAAAGGGTGCTGGTGGGGAGAACATGGGCAGGTTGCTTCCACAGTGACGGTCAGGCTTCCTCGAGGCGGCATGTGAGGGTGCTGTCCAGGCAGGGAGGCGGAGCAGGCTCAAAGCCCGTGGGTGGGAGAGGGCTTGGCGGTGGGATGGCCAGCGTGGCTGCAGCCTGGTGGATGGGGGGGACACAAGGATATGAGGAAGGGCACACACGCAGGCCTGGGAAGAGGTGGTGGGGATTCGCGTTTCTCTCTCTGATTGATGGGAAGATATGTAAAGTCATGTCTGAAAGTCTGGATCCCTCGTTTTGGGGTAGCAGAAGAAAGGGGTGTTTTTAAGAGGAGATACTCCTAAGAAGGGGAGGGGGGAGATAATCCCTGAGCACAGACTCCTGCTCCCAGCTCCCGGGAAGCCTGGGAACTTGACCACCCACTGAGTGAGAAAGGGTCCCTCTGCCTGTGGGAATCCACGCAAATTCAAACTGAAACCCCAGAGAACCACTATGATACTGCAGAAAAGGACAAAGCTGGACTTTGAGACTCGCTGTAAGCCCACAGTAATCAAGATGGCGTGGTTGCCCAAGATCCATTTTTGGGATCGATGGAACAGAAGCATAGAAGGCCCAGAAGTACACCCACATGATACAGTTTACTGATCTTTGACAGAGGAGCAAGAGGGAGAAAAGATAATCTTTTTAACAAACGATGCTGGAGGAACAGGACATCCATGTGCAAACAGTGAATCTAGACACAGACCTTACATCCTTCCCCAAAAAATAACTCAAAATGGATTGCAGACAAAATGTAAAATGCAAAACCATAAAACTCACAGATGATGACATAGAGAGTCTGAATGACCCTGGGATCGGCAATGACACCAGCTTGTCCAGGGTCTGGGGTGGATTTAGATAGGACATCAGGGCATGATCCATGAAGGAAAGAATGGACGAACTAGATGCTAATATCTGAATGTGTCCCCCCAAATTCATAAGCCAAAGCCTCACCCCCAAAGGGATGTACGCATGAGATCATACGAGGGCAGCAGGCGCCGTGGAAGTGACACGCCATCCTGCAGAACCAGGGGCTAGCGTCACCGGAGGGCACGTGCCTGTGATTGGTCCCCCTGATGGACGCATACGGTCTGGTCTTGCTTCCTGCCTAATGTACCCGCAAGGGGGGACGTGGCCGGCGGGTGTCTGCAGGTTTCTGGATTATGGCGTCATGGTTCCAACATCCAGCCCTCGCCCTAAGCGTGTTCTTCAAAAAAGCACACGGAGAAAGAGCCCAGTAAGGATTTTAAACAGAGTGACTCATGACTCACAAAGGAGAGTGCTGGGATGGGCTACACAGGGGCCTCTCACTCGTTAGGAAACCAGTGCTTAGTTCCTGGGGTTCTGCCGCTCTCTCCCTGCAGCCTTCCCCAAGCACACAGTTTTGATCTTCAGACCCATCTAAACGCTTAAAGTGATTGAGGACCCCAAAGAGCTTTTTGTTCATGTGGGCTGTATCAATATTTACTGGATTCGAAATCACACCTGGAAAAACGTTAAATATTGAAATATATTTTTCTATACTGGTGTGCAACTTGAGAAAAACAGAAATCAAAAACTCTTGTGAAGATAATATTGTTTTATGAAAAATAGTTCTATTTCTAAAACAAAAAAAGGAGACGAGTGGCATCTAATAAAAACAATTTTGCGGGATGCCTGGGTGGCTCAGTCGGTTAGGCCGCTGCCCTCGGCTCAAGTCATGATCCCGGGGTCCTGAGATCGAGTCCCACATCGTGCTCCTTGTCCAGTGGGGAGCCTGCTTCTCTCTCTGCCTCTCCCTGCCACACTGCCTGCTTGTGCTCTCTCTGTGACAAATAAATAAATAAAATCTTAAAAAAAAACCAAAAACAATTTTGCATGTCTCTTCCTAAGTCTGGGTTTGCCGGAGCAGGTCCGCCGCTGCTGCAATGAATGGTGAGCAGATGCTTTGCCGTGAGGCGTGAATGACCCGGCTTCGCACAGGTACGCAGGCGAAAAGGAGAGATCATGTAAATGACTCAGGTCTCTGGATGTTCTTCTTCGATACTGTATCAACACTGGGCAAGGGTGGTTTCTCCAAGGTTAGTGGAATCTGAACTCATGTCAATGAACCTTCTCGCACTGTCACTAAAATCCACTGGTCACTCGCGTGCTTTGGGATTTTGTGGTGCTGCACATCGGTCATTTGGACAGTATTGGTTCACTCACCCGACTCTCACGGACGCCCACAGTGCTTTTCCTACGGTCTCTCCATGTTCGGTAGCGTATTAAGGATTCACATGCAAGGGTGGAAATTTAATAAAATTATTTCACTACTTCTAGAACATTCTTAAGTGGAACAGGCTTTTTTTTTTTTTTTTTTTTTCCCCCAATTGAGACTCTGGGGCAGCAAAGAATATAATGGTTGTGAATACAGGGGCCTCGACTCCGGCTAAGGGGCTGTGATTTTATACGCCATTGCTTTGGCCTTGGTGCAAGAGGTCAACAGAGTTAAGAAAGGCAAATAACGTCTTGGTATTATTAGGAGACTCGTTTTGACCTCCCAGGCCCTCTGAAAGGGTATTGGGGTCACCCTTCCCCCGCCCCGTGGATCCTGGAACACTCTTGGAGGACCACACCCGTGGAGCGTTGAGAACCAAGTTTGAACTGAGTCTGGTCCTCCCTGGGCTGGAGGTGAGAGGGACTGAGGACGCTGGAATGTTGGCAGGGACAGTGTTGGCCCTACAGAATTATTAAGTATTATTAACGATAAATTGTTAAGTATGAATGAAGACCCCAATCTACCCCAGTCGTTCATGAGGACACCCACCAGAGGCACTGCGTGCTGTAGCGCCTTCCCCTGGAGAGCACAGGAACCCACGTGCCATTCTCCTCTCCGTGGTATCACGAGAGTTCACGCAGCCCACTCAGGGATCTGCTGCTGCTACTGGGACTCTGAAGAGACACATCAGGGCTCCTCAGGCTTGTCGGCCCTCCCATGCCCGTGCCCTGCGAGGACGTGCGGGGCTGAGCGTGGCCGTGAGAACTTCTGGATGAAGCCATTCACCAGCCCTAATGGTCGCTCGTCAGCCAGCCCCCTGCGGGAATGGAAACAACTTGTCTCCATGTGTTCAGGCCGCTACAACCAAATCCAACGAACTTGGGCGGCTTCCAGCCTCGGTGCATGACCTAACTCTCAGAATGACTTTTGGTCAGTCTCGGTTGAATCACCGAGGTTCCTCCGGGACTGTCCTGGGCTGGGCTGGAGTGGAGTTTGAGTTCAAGGAGGAGACGGTTGCTCTGACCGGTGCTGGGAGCTGTTTGATTGAAATCTGATAAGCAACCAGGTGACATCACGGTTTAGGAGGCCGGTGCGGGGTGTAGGAGACCGCTCCCGGTGCACACGGGCACAGTGCGTTACCACCTGCTGGGCCATAAAGGAAGGAGTGGTTGGCTTTTATGATCAGAGGCTTCACCTGCAGAGTGAAGGGCACCGAGGACAGGGGAGCAAATGAGAGACTGTTTTGAAAGTTTCCTGGGTCTCCTTGGGTCAGTGTGTCCTCAGGTCAGCTCCTGCTGCTTTCATCCATCAGCAGGCTTCGGGGCGCCTCCTCCCACCCCATGCCCACGCCCCTGCTCCGTGTCTCAAGCTCCTAGCAGCTCTGCGGCACCTCGCTCAGGGCATGTAGCCAGGAGGCCACAGGAGGGACGCAATGTGACTTGTATTTAATTACTGAGAGCCACTTTGGTCAAATCAAGATTAAATGATCACCCCAGACAAAAACAAATTAGTACTAAATCCCACATTAAATGCAGCCAAACCCATTACATCTCTTCTCAGACATCCTGTTTTCCTGGGAAAAGGGCTTTTTGTTTTTTCGTTTTTTTCAAATGACACCTGCTGGGATTGGTGACTTAGCCCAGGTCACTGGCCATTCTCACTGGTGCCTCCCCTGAACTTCCGGGCAGGCGAAGGGGTCCTGCACTGGCTTTGGGGAAGGCACAGTGGAGGAGGGCAGAGCCGGGTTCTGGAAGGGGCTCCTTTGTGTGACCCACCCAGCTTTCAAATCGGATATTTGATGTGGTTTTCAAATTTTTATTAAAAAATTTTTCTTTTATATTCCAT